AAGTACTTATGAAGGAAGACAAATTTACTGCTATTTTTTTTTTGCTTTCTATTCGTATAACAAATGTTTTACAGTGTGCAGTAAAGCGAGTTGTTATTTTGCTAGTCAATTGTGTCAGCGTGGATGTCAGCGTGGATAGTCAGCGTTCTAGTATGTGTCAGCGTTATTATAGTCTACCAGCGCCAGCAGAGGTGAGCTTATAGGCAGACACGAGTGTGACTTGGTGTATTATTTATGGGGAAGACCACTGTGTGTGTGTGTGCCTACATACATACATACACACAATACAGGCACTCACACACACACACACGCACACACACATCAGTTTTTTGTCAAATATTTATAGGAAAACATTCTTCCTACCTCCTATTTTTCTTCCTCCTCCTCTATTATCCTCTTTTATGCTTTGACTCACTCCTACTCCCCCTCTCACCCTCCATATATCAACCTCCCTCTCACCTCGTACCTTCCCCTCCTCCCTCTCACTCCCCTTGTTCCCTTTCTCCTCCCTCTCACCCCGCACTCCCCCCCCCCTGCCCCTCCGCCACACCTGTCATTACACCTCAGGTAACTCTCACGCTCACTTAAGCTGTTTCTCTTTCTTGGTGGAGGCGTGTCTGTGGCCTTAGGGGTCTTTGAGGGCTAAATAGGGGTCTTGGGGCAGTCTGGTAAGAGGATTGGGACCTAAAGAAAGGTTTTAAGTCGGTAGTTTAATGGGTCAAACAGGTCATGTGGCGGGCGAGGTAAATCATGTGATATGAACGTCAGAGGATAGTTCATTATTTTACAAATTTTAATGTTTTGTTGGTTAGGGATAGCGAAGAGGTGGAAGGAGATGGATAGATAAAGAGATATAAGAAAATAAGTAAGAAGGATGTGGATAACCAAACGCTGACGTAGAATATCACAGAAGGGTAATCACTCAGGTAGGTAGGTCAGGTGAATGGCAGGTATTCAATAAGATAATAATTAGCGAAGGTAGATTATTAAGATATGATATTATCCGAAATAAGATTATTAGCTGACGTCGATTATTATTAAGTGAAATAAACTGCTCAATGATGTGGTGTGTGTGTGTGTGTGTGTGTGTTAAATAAGTACATACATACATACATACGTACATACATACACACATACATACATACATACATACATACATACATACATACATACATACATACATACATACACAAATCAATTAGTCAGTCAGCCAAGAAAACAGGAATTTGTTAACCTCATCAGAGTGAGTGTCGGTGTGGTCGTTCGCGTGTCTCACCCACAGTAACCATGAATTATTCCCACAGTCATCAAGGAGGGCAGCGAGGGTAGTCAGGAGGGTCTGTACTTGTCATTAGTGGTAGTCGACGGAATTAGTTATAATAAACCAACAGGCGATTATAACTAGTGATAAACTGTAGTGATGAGGAATATTTAGTTATCAATATTTAGTGATGGAGGGATACATAGGTTCATTAGATTAGTTCTGTAGGTAGTTTTTTTATGGTGCCATCTCACCTGGGGATACACCTGTCATTAATCACAGGTGTGTCTCCATAACTGTTCCAGGTAGACACAATGATCGTATCTCTTGTCACCAGACCACACGCCTCTTTAACACGCTACCTTGCACTTACACGTACTAGCGCAATTGTGTATTACGCACGCACGCACACACACACACACACACACACACACACACACACACACACACACACACAACACCTAAGTTTTTCTTTTGTAATCAACACGATCGATTCCAAGACAAGAATGACCCGTTGTAGTACCTTTGCGAAACTTTATTTTTTCTTCTACTTTTTCATTTTTTGAAGCTCCAACAATGTTTAATTAAGTTATATATGTGCGTTTAGTAACAGTGGCAGATGTGGGGTCATGTATATAGCTGATAATGCAACAGGTATAGATTCAAGTGTTTAGGATTAGGTGTAGAAGAGTCATTAAAGTGTGCCACCGAACAGCTAAGGAATATTGTCGATGATGACAGAAGGGTTAAGGTGCGTCCGAGAGAGGCAGTATTATCATAGGAATTAAAAGAGTGTTAATCGCTATCCACCTTTACCTCCCCTCCCCGTCTCCTTCCCCTCTTTATTTGCCTCCCCTTCCCCTCTTCCTTTGTCTTCCCCACCTCACCTCCCCTCCCCTTCCCTCCCCTTTCCTCCCCTTCCCTCCACTCCCCTACCATTATCTTTCCTATCATGAACACTATGGGTGCCATTACCTTTGGCACCACTAGGCCTTAAGCACTTCATTAACACAGACGTCAGTATATGCCACCACTGTTTCCTTCACTAACGCTGATTGCACCACTAAGAACTCGAGTCGACTAGACACTATAGTTGTGCCAGTAAGCGGAGCCACTCTACGCTTCACTCACCCCCATGGCACCACCAGGCACTAGACGCCATAACAACGCCAATAAACAGAGCTACTAAATCACCCGCTAGTGTTGCCAGTAAGTAACACATTCGTATCTAGACACTGAATGTGGGAGTTGGTGTCAGAAGGGTGTTGTCGCTTGTGTAGGAAGACTGATGTGACGACACTGAGGAAAAGGGGTGATTAGTCTATGAGAGAGAGAGAGAGAGAGAGAGAGAGAGAGAGAGAGAGAGAGAGAGCCATACTGTATTCCCACCAACACGTAGGGTCTAGCAGGCAAACAGTACATTAGTGATATGTGACCAAACTTTTAGATTAGTGATATGTGACCAAACTGTGGGTTAGGTTAGGTTAGGTTAGGTGTATTTACTCGCCGTAGATCACTAAAAAATGCTTGGCGAATAATACATTATAATTCTTTACGTCTCAAACATTTTCCAGACATGAAAACTTTGATGGTAAAACTTGAGACATATTCCTCAAAGATCCATAAGAATGTGTGTCTGCATAGTACTTCACATTTATCTCCTAATAAAACTCAATAAAGAAATATATCCAATTCTATTTTTCGTTATATTTTGGTGTAAAAAAAAAAGTGCAAAAATCTCAGATCATCATTACAGTAGGTCGTTGGTTCATGGTCTGGGAATCCACAGTCGACACAGGTGTAAATTGGTATCTAAATCTAAGCAGAGACACACCTGTAATATACCAAGTAGTGTGGGGAAGGTTGTCGTCGCCTTGTGGGAGTGTATTGTTTGTGGTAGAGACGGCCACTAACAAGCGCTGTGCACCAGTATGATGTGTACTTTATTAGAAACATTCCTAGTTGGACATGATATCTTTTCTTTAAATCACTAGCCAAAGACTCACAAGGTTGGTTAAGTTCTGTCTGTCTGTCATCCGTCTACAATTCCTTCACATTTATTTGAAACTATTTTATACACATTTCTTGATATCAAAGTCTTCAATTATTGCCGACCTTGCATCACATTAAGCCGTTGTTAATACCAAGAATCATTAACAACTAATGAACAAAGGTTTCAATTTCAATTAGATATTTTGATAATTCTCGATTGTTTGTTTGTTGACATCATGACCCAGAGGCCAGAAGTGGTACCTCCTTCAGTATCATATATCTTTATACTATACTGTATAGTGAACAAGAGAAATATATTTTCATAAAACCTATAGTGACAACTTCCTTAATAAGAGTCTCATCACTGTCGCCAAATCAGTCGTGTTCCGCCACTGTTGCCAGACCCGTCGTGTCGCGTCACAATTATCCTCTCTGACCCTACAAGCTGTAATAGCTTCCTGATTATTCACGAGATTTGTGTCACATTTCCTTCAGGTAGAGGAAGGGAGGGTAAGGAAGAGAGGGAGGGGGGGTGAGGGAAAGGAGGGAAAGGAGGGAGGGAGGGTAAGGGATGAGGGAAAGTGATTGATGGAAAGGGAGGGTGGATGAGGAAGAGAGAAGGAAAAGTAAAGGAAGGAGGGAGAGAGGGAAGGAAGGAGAGAGAGAGGAAGGAGGAGAGAGGGAAGGAAGGAGGAGAGGGAGAGGGAAGGAAGGAAGGAGAGGAGGGAAGGGGAAGGAAGGGAAGGAAGGAGGGAGGGACGGGGATATAAAGTGGAAAGTAAGAAGTAAAAAAGTTTAGTTTGGTCTAATAATGGCCCTCCTTCCCCCTCCCTAAAACGCGTGTTACTACAGTTGGTAAAAACACAAAGATCGTTACTGACATATAATAAAGGTATGTAAAAACGGCCTTTGAATACCACTGACATTAATATTAAGTTTGGTAATATTTAACGCTTAGGGTACAGCCTCACACTCTTATGTAACACACACACACACACACACACACACACACACACACACACACACACACACACACACTTACTATCACTATAATTGGCTGACTACTTTGCATAATTAAAGTCTTTGTCTATGTTAATCTTTGTCAATAAACCTAAATTATTCTAACCTAACCTCTAGAAAATACCCCAAAACACGTTGAAATTTACACTGTTTGAATTTATTAACTATTACTAGTGAAGCTTTGAGTCGAGCATTACCTTCGACCAATATCGTTAGGTGTTGATTTTGGATTCACGAGAAGGGTTCAGAAGTTCAAAAAATAAACAATAAACAAATATATTAATGTTGTATTGATTCCTTGATTAGTTAGAAGTTGTTGATTACTGCCCTTTTAGTTAGTGATCTTTAGGTCTTAATACACTTGAAGTTAATGAATGATTCTTATACTGACAAACTAATGGATGAGTTAATGTGATAAATATTGCCTTATTTATACACTGATGGATAAGTTATGTTGACTATTACTCACTAATACCAAAGAATTAGTTAATTATTGACCATTTACTCACTTAACTCATTAAACAATGAGTTGTGTGTGTGTTGACTATTTCATCCATTGACTTTTAAGTTTCGGAAAATAATTAATCGATGTAGATTTTTTATACTGGGGTGAACATAACAGCTTTCAGGGTCATAAAACGGATGAGAGAGAGAGAGAGAGAGAGAGAGAGAGAGAGAGAGAGAGAGAGATACCTGACTTAACGAGGTTTTTTTTTTCCACCCTCAGGCTCTAACGTGTGTAATGTACCACTGGGATTAGAAGATGGCTCTATACCTGACTCCAGCATCTCGTGAGTAATGTATATACCTGTTGTAGCGGCCTCTTAGTCTCTTATGGCCTCTTGGTGAGTCTTTTTCGGCCTCTTTGCCTAAGTATTTTCCTCCATCTAAACACGAATCCCCTTTCTGGTTGGTGCCCCGAATACCTCCATCTGACCCAACTGTGAATGGGTACCTGACTATATAGTTGGGGAAATGAAGATGGTCGTGTGCAGTGCCGATCATGTGTAACAAAGCCTTAGTGGAAACTGTATGATATAATCTACACGATCTCCCAGAAGACCAGTCATGCCTATGGGACCCGCTTTGATTTTCAGTAGTCTGTTTAGGTTCTGGTGTTTGTTTTGGATTAGGTTAGGTTAGTGTTATTATGCACAATTTATTACTGCGCGTTATATTCGTTCTTATCCACTATGTGTTTTTACTAGCGTTATGCGTCACCTCTGTCTTATTCTGGTGGAGGTGAACGAAATATAAACAATCACTATTTTTAACTTTTTGCTTTTAATTTTCAATATTTCTTCGTTTCTCAATTTTGTTTTCTGTGAATGTTGGTTTTGTAGTAGTAATAGTAATAGGGTAGCTAGTTTTGTATTAGGATATTAATTTTAAGGTAATAAAATAGCGGCGAAGGTGTGGCTATTAGGGGAGGCTGAAGGTAATTATAGTAAAAGAAGTAGTAGTACTGGTAGTTGTAGTCATAGCAGCCGTAGTAGTAGTAGTCATAGCAAAAAAATTTTCACTCACACATTTTACATCGTCATGCTATTAACTAAAGACTATTATATAAACATTATTTCCTATTTATTTTCTATTAATATAAAGAAAAGAAAATGTATCTAGTTATGTTTATTTGTGATTTTTTTTAAACGTGTAATATACTAGTATCCCCTGACCACATATTCAACAGCAGGTCATGGCACAAGGGAGTGAGTTTTCAAGAGAATGTCAATATCCAAAACAATATCCCACAGTTTATTGTAATACCAATAATCACTTATGCACTCAGGTACCCTCAAGCATGCAACTTTGTGTTAACAGTTGTTGGTACTGCTAGAATATTTTTTTTTCTGTTTTTTTTTGTATAAATAGTTGATTTGAAAGGATTAGAGAGAGAGAGAGAGAGAGAGAGAGAGAGAGAGAGAGAGAGAGAGAGAGAGAGAGAGAGAGAGAGACCTGCAGGTTTAAATGAAGTGGCTTGTTTGTTATGTATTTGACACTGTATAAGACCAATGTATTCAAGTATATACATAAAATACAGATATATTAGTTACCAACAATAAACTGTATTTTTTTTGGTTAAAGTTTTTGTTGTATTACTGTGCTTTAAGTTTAACCAGAGCTCAGGACACATTTATTATATTAGTTTAAAATTACACACTTGATATAAAAACATGAGGAATATTTCTTTAAGTGTAACGTTACTATTGTATATTCAGGTGACTGTGGTATATTGTGAAGTGAAAGTGACTATATTCTCATTTAGTTAAGTACTTCCAGATAAAAGTTACTGAATATAATGCAAAGTTGTCACATCACTGGAAGACGTTGTAATGGTTATGTAATAATGCCATTATACTCATATATCACCACCATGTTGTGACCTCACTCTAGTAACCATCAACCATAACTCATTACTGATGCTTCTGAACAACTTTAACCTGATTGAGGGTAATTCTAACCATCTATTACCCAGTATATGTAGCTTTAACTTCATCATTAGTAGTTCTAACTACCTTTAAACTTATTCTTGCTCGTCATGACCTTGTTTCCCGAATTTCTTCAGTTCAACAGTGGCGGACAGTAAACCCGAGGAAGCCCGACTGCAGGGACAAGGTGCCTGGTGCTACAAAGGCCCTGCTGACCCTAGGACTGAGGTCTCCATCACGATTGATCTGGGCAAAGTTATGCTCGTCTCGGGTAAGTGTTTCCGGGTGTGATTTTGACGAAGTAAAATTAACATAACCTTAACAAATTTCAACTGGACCGGCCTCCCCAGATTACACCTGTAATTACTATATCCGTCCTAAGCTAAACCCAAGTACACATGCTACACACAACGATACCTAAGCTTATCTCTGTGTTAAAAGACTAGTCCTGTACAGGGAGGGGGGGGGGTCTAAACTAGGTATGGGGCTCGGTCGACAACCCCACCAACAATTTAGGCGTTCTTGGCTCAGAGCTCTTGGGGAACAGAAAAAACCCAGATGTGCTTTTTAACGAGGTGGCTCCATCTTTTGTGGGGGATAAGGAGCTCGCAATAGGCCGGTTGGCCTGTGCATGGCAGCTCCTGTCGAGAGTTACAACCACTCTCCATCGTCCATGAATCTATCTAGCCTCCTTTTAAGACTTTCCAGCGTCTCAGCACTTACTACTAAATTGCTAAGCTTGTTCCACTCATCTACCACCCTAAACCTAAACTTATTCAACTTAAATCCGTTGCTACGAGTCCTATCCTGCTTGGATATTATAAGAACTTTATCTATATCTCCTTAAATGCTTCTATCATATCTCCCTGCACTCTTCGTCTTTCTAGGGAATGCAAGTTTAGTTTCTTTAATCTATCTTGATAGGAAAGTTTTCTAAATCCTGGAATCATTTTCGTCATTCTTCGCTGCACCGACTCCAGTGAATTGATATCCATTCTATAAGAAGGGAACCAGAACTGAACAGCATAATCGAGGTGCGGCCTGACTAGCGGGATATATGAGGGACTTCTCTCCATTTCCAATTCTTAGCTGCCTATCTTTAAAACCGTAGCCGTCCATAGCGCACATTTACACACCAACACAAACACATGTTGTATTGTATGCATATAGATTATCATGTTTATAGATGAAATAATTTGTGGGGTATTTGAGTTTGACAGATTGTTATGTCACGATATTAAGGAGTTTTACGATGGTTTATACAGCCATACAGACTTCAGGTCCGCCCGAATCCGTGTTCCCCGCCAGTTACTACTATATGGTGGGATTTAAGGTCTTCAACACTACCGCCGCTGAACCTGAGAACGACAAAGAGTGGGACGTCTGCTGCAGCGAGACCATAGAGGTGAGAGAGAGAGAGAGAGAGAGAGAGAGAGAGAGAGAGAGAGAGAGAGAGAGAGAGATGAAGGAGGATGGAGAATGTTAATATGATAAGAGAGATAGATAGAGTGAATTAGAGTGGACGTCCATACATGAATGATATCAGAAGACAACCAGTGACAGAAAAAAATCTCAATCTACCTACTGATACTCACATAATTTCCCAAACATATAACAACACCAACTTTACCCATCACATCCATTGTATCTTCTTTACATACACACTTCCGTTGTTTGAGAAGGACCCCTAAGACAGAGAAGACCACACAATGCTTCTTTACCCCAAAACAACACCAATATCTTATTTCTAACTAGTATATTACCCACGTCACGTCTAATCATATTCTTGTGTGTGTCAGTTCTTCGCCAGCGATACCCGAACGGAGATAGGAGTGGTCAGTACTTTCCCTCTGCCGTACTTGATGTTGACCCGCTATGTACGTCTCCGCTTCAAAACAGAGATCCGCTCCATCGGTAACCTTATCAAGTGCTTCCGCCTGGAGTTGCTCGGTTGTCCCCCAGGTGAGTAGACGATATCCTCCTTCCCCCCCACTCTCTCATTTCTTTTTCAATGAGAAACTGTAATGAAACTGTTGATGTGTTTTCCTCATTTCGTTCCTAAAATAACTTGTCTTATTGTCTGCTGGCCGTTCATAGCTGACATGTGTGCGGTAAAGGCGATCATTGTTGTATAGAACAGCTTCAAGAACTAACCTAACCTAGCCTAACCTAGCCTAGCCTAGCCTGACCTAACCTAAATAGGGATAACATATTAAGAATGGGTCATAAGCTATATAAATCCTTCAGGTATGGTAAAGGGTAATTCACTCACCTAGACTTTTGGTCTTCATTTCCATGGCCTTTGACCTCACCCACCACGACCTTTAACCCGTCCATAATGCAGACGTTGAGCCAGTGAGCCAGGTGGAGTTGAAGGCTGATTCAAGAGGGTGGGTGGTGGTCTCATGGAGACAACCAGTCATACAGATGCCTCAGGCTGACGGCTCACTGGTAGAGCTTAACCTTACTACCACCAACTACGTCGTAAGTAACAGTTTTAATGTTTTACTATGCAAGTAACAGCTGGTCTTTACTCCCCACTACCTGGCCTTTACTCCCCACTACCTGGTCTTTCACATTAAATCTCTAGGTATCACTCCCCTTACTCTTCCTTCATAAGACAATATTTAATTGACAGATCAGTAGCTTCACATTTTGAGACCTAACCTAACCTAACCTAACCTAACCTAACCTAACCCAACCCAACCCAACCCAACCTAACCTAACCTAACCTAACCTAACGTAACATAACCTAATTTGTCCATTTCCACATACTCTTCCTTATCAGCTTTTAACCTCTTAATCACGTGTGACTTCTTTTACCTCTAATCCTTGTAACCTCTGACCCCTATCAACAGGTGAGTATAGAACGTAGTGGCGGCGGAGACCAGAATGAGATTGTTCAAGAGAGTGTTGAGGCTTACCGCTACATGCTGCCAGGACCAATATGGGGCGCCACGTACGTGCTAACACCTCTTTCACTTATTCCCAGCACCACACACACACACACACACACACACACACACACACACACACACGTAAACAACAGGTGATAATGTATCTAGCGACATATGGCTTTAAGGTATCGCTTAGCTTAGGAGCTGGTTGATGGTGTATGTGATGATAGTGGTATATTTATAACCCGCACTGGGGGGATGAATGGAAGGGGGAAAAGTGGAGAGGGGAAGGGGTGAGAAGGGTTAAAATAGGGAGGGAAGCCAGGGAATGGGAGGGAGGTAATTCATTCTCCCAAGAGACTACGAAAGGTCGGGGATATGCCGCGTGTTCGACTTTAAATGAATGTACGCACTCAGAGTCCAGTTATGTTATTAGTAATTTGCAATGTAAAGTTTCATTCATGTTTCACCGAGGTAAGAAAAGTATATTTTAGTCTTTATTAACAACCCCTTGTTCCAAAACTTTCTCTCCTGGGATGCGCTTGTGGTGTGTCTACGTGATGTACTGGATTAGGTTAAGTTCTTTGGCTATTTGTACGTGTTTATGACTTCAGAGGGCGTGGGCACACAATTGGACTCAAACACATACCAACAGCATGCATTTCCAATCCCCCTTCCCCCACCCAACCTAATCGGGACGGCGGGGAACAAACATAAGGTGGAGTTATTACTTCGGCTCGGTCAATGTTTGTCCACGGAGGGGGGGTTCCCAACAGACGTAGATAGAGTCTTGTCACGCAGACACTTAACTAAACGAGTTCGAGGGCTTTTCTCAGCTAGAACGTGTGTCCAAAACTTATCATTTACATGTAGAAAAGACCCAAAACACGATTTTATACACGATATGTTGTAGCAGTATTGATAGTTCTGACCGTGGATGTGGGGCGTTAGGTTTTAGAGAAATTGGACCAAAGGATCGTATATTTTATAGCTGCCGATAACATTGTATGTAACTTTAACAAATTCTATCGTTCCAAATTAATCTCTCTCTCTCTCTCTCTCGTTATATGTCACAGGTACAAAGTGACATTGGTGTGTGGTCATCAGAGCTTCAACTTGACGTGTGGGTCCGCCAGCCTCACTGACACCCTGGACGTGTGTGACCTCGAGGTAGACGACTGCACTACCAAGGAACCAGGTGAGTCTAGCCGTACTATACTGGACTTACGTAAGGCGCTCGTTGACAATCATTGGCTGTGATAACTTCCAGTGGGGTTGGTTTTGTCATGCATATCACTATTATTATTATATTATTATTATTATTATTATCATTAACAGTAGTAGTAGTAGTTCTTAATACACTTGAAACTTGAGGTGCTTCTTCTCCCCAGTGGTATTCCGGAGACCATCAGAGGTAAAGGCGGCGGTGGTGGGTGACGGGGAGGTAATGCTGTTCTGGAGCGTTGACTCGCCTGGTTGGATCACTCCGACACTCTCGTTACAGATCCTCGACAAGACAGCCAACACACTGCTGAGCGAGAAGAACATTACCAAAGATGTTAGTTATGGTGATGTAAACTCTGTGTGTGTGTGTGTGTGTGTGTGTGTGTGTGTGTGTGTGTGTGTGTGTGTGTGTGTGCCTGGTCATTAAGAATCATTAAATACGATTAATTTAACAGTCATTACATAACAATTAAACAGTTAATAACTTGTTGTGTTATTATTCGAAGTTATTGAGATAAATTATAACTTCATGTTTTATTTTCTCTTCCATGGCGTAATTTACCTCCACGTGTCTCTGGCCTCTACCTCCACTTACCTCCACGTGTCTCTGGCCTCTACCTCCACTTCCTCACATACAGGAGGTCAGCACCAAGATGACAGGAGTAGAGGGAGGCAAGTCGTATACTGTTGCGCTGTTACCTCAAGCTGACTCTAAACCTCTCGCTAAGTTCACCTTCGATCTATACATAAGTGAGTGTTTGCCTGAGATTTTATACTTAGGGTACCTTAAATCTAGTTAGGTTTGATTGGATTAGGTTAGGTTAGGTTAGATTAGGTTTGGTTTGATTTGATTTGGTTTAGTTTTTTGTTGGGTTAGGTTATGTTAGCTAAGGTTAGGTTAGGTTAGATTGTCTATGAAACTATTCATCAATAAGTATTTTGATGATCTATATGATCGTCTATAACCAGTCAAATGTTCTCCAAAAATGAAATATATTGATGTTATCGCCATTAGGCAATTATCTTAAACTTTAATAGCTTTGCATGCAAATATAACAAAAATAATCAACAAAAATAACATTTATAAGGCAAAAGCAATGAAGATTTAGCACAATTACTGCATAAATAACCACCATCTATCATACACTAAACTACACCGTTTATAGAACCAGTAAGTTAAACACGACAAGATAAATCCGTAGATTTTATTTTATATATTTATTGTCTACCTTATTTTAGGGTATATTTATCGTCTCGAAGTTATTGCCCATAATTATCACCCCACCCTTATCACCCCCACCTTATCACCCCACCCCTTATCACTCCTTATCACTCCCAATTTATCACCCCACCCTTATCACTCCCTAATTTATCAATTCCCCAATTCTTATCCAATCTCTTTATCACCCCACCCTTATCACCACATTGTACATTTCACCCCCCCACCACAAGACTGTAGGGCATGGCTAAAAGGATCAGAACTTATAGGGAGTAATTATCTTCGTTCCAGTCCCTTGGCAGGATGTGAACCAGTCAGTGCTCAACAGTGGCTACGGCGCCTTTGTATCTGATGTGGGGCTGAGAGTTGACATCCTCTGGAATGGCACGCTCAAAGTAACGTGGGCAGTGGCAAAGGTACGGGAGCTGCCCAGAGTCGAGGACACTGCGGCTACAGACAGTACAGAGACCAGTGACTCTACAGATGAAACCAACGCTGAGGATGAAACCAACGCTGCAGATGAAACCAGCGCTGAGGATGAAACCAACGCTGCAGATGAAACCAACGCTGAGGGTGAAACCAACGCTGCAGATGAAACCAACGCTGAGGGTGAAACCAACGCTGCAGATGAAACCAACGCTGCAGATGAAACCAACGCTGAGGTGGAACCAACGCCGCAGATGAAACCAACGCTGCAGATGAAACCAACGCCGTGATGAAGCCGCAACGCTGCAGATGAAGCCAATCGCTGCAGATGAAAACCAACGCTGGAGGGTGAAACCAACGCCGGCGATGAAACCAACGCCGCAGATGAAACCAACGCCGTAGATGAAACAACGCTGAGGGTGAAACCAACGCCGCAGATGAAACCAACGCTGCAGATGAAACCAATACAGCAGATGAAAAATAACGCTGCAGAGGAAACCAATGCCGCAGATGAAACCAACGCCGAGGGTGAAACCAACGCTGCAGATGAAACCAACGCTGAGGTGAAACCAACGCCGCAGATGAAACCAACGCCGCATGAAACCACGCTGTAGATGAAACCAACGCCGCAGAGCAAACCAACGCTGCAGATGAAACCAACGCTGAGGTGATGAAACCAACGCTGCAGATGAAACCAACGCCGAGGGTGAAACCAACGCTGCAGATGAAACCACGCCGCAGATGAAGCTGGATCGCCAGAGCGAAACCAACGCTGCAGATGAAACCAGCTGAGGGTGAACCAACGCTGCAGATGAAAACCAACGCTGGAGGATGAAAACCAACGCTGCAGATGAAACCAACGCTGAGGATGAAACCAACGCTGCAGATGAAACCAACGCTGCAGATGAAACCAACGCTGCAGATGAAGCCAACGCTGCAGATGAAACCAACGCTGCAGATGAAGCCAACGCTGCAGATGAAACCAACGCTGAGGGTGAAACCAACGCTGCAGATGAAACCAACGCTGCAGATGAAACCAACGCTGAGGGTGAAACCAACGCTGCAGATGAAACCAGCGCTGAGGATGAAACCAGCGCTGAGGATGAGGACACGGAAGGCACTCCTGGAGAAACTGTTGCCACGGCCTTCATGTACTCCGTCTTGGTCACCAGTAATGGCGGTACGTTCACTGGATTTCTCAGTAAACGAATGTTATTAGAGGAGAGACACTTTCTTAAGCAACGCCCACAGGTTTTGAGACTGATAGTAAACCAAGAAACTCGCGATATTTACAATCACTTTCTTAAATTATACTTAGGTCTTAATTTAAGCGTCTCATACTGCCGGAGAGACTGACATGACTCTGGGCTTAAGTTAAGAAGTATCTTTCTACAATATCAATCTCCAGTTATTTAACAATGACAGTAACAAGTTTACTTTTTTTTTAACAAACCCAAATTTTAGAAGAGACAACTTGCCAACACCAGCTTGGGTTACACACCTGGGTTACACACCTGGGTTACACACCTGTGGTTACACACCTGTGCTTAATACCTTATTAAGTATTTTACCTTTTTGTTCTCAAGTTATAATACAGTAACGTATTAATGTCCAGATATCTTGCACCATATATTAAGTTGTTTAAGCAATAGTTTTAGCTGTAACTATACAACATTACCCACCTTCTTAATTACTGTCGACTTTAATGTATTCAAAATCGTTTTACACTTAAGCTCTAAAAATTCAACTTATTGTCAATTTTATAGTAAATATAAACAAAAGCTATGAAAAGATGAAACTGTCGTCAGCCATTATCTGTTAACTTTGATAACTTGTCATAACTACAGCTACTTAAACTAAAATAAATTAATTCAAGGTATATTTACTTGTACATTTGTTGATGAGGTCATAACACAGTTGTTTCTCTGTTCATAACACTGTAAGCAAGGGATACGTAGACAGGATTACTAAATTAACCCTTACCAAACAGATCACTCTAATTATAAGCTGAAATTACCTCTTGTGTTAATGAACTGATAATGGTCATGAGAAATATGAACTATGAGTGGTTATCAGTTACCAGTCGTTGTAACTACGTAATAACTACCTGAATACTATTGTAGCTTACCATTTTTGTACTTCATAATTAACTTAACACATCTGGCTAATGCAAGGTAAACCCTTCTTAATTATTGAGTTGGTATTACTTATAATCTACCTGACGGCTTAGGGGAATCAGTTTGTAGTGTTCTCATATTTCTAATAAAAGGAGAGAGAGAGAGACTACTACTACTACTACTACTTATGGTTTGTGATATGTTACAGAGGAATTGGTAAAGAATATAACCCAGAACAAGGAAGGCGAGGAGGAGGAGGTACGGGTGGACATAACGCTACTAAAGTTCGAGACTAATTACAGCGTTCACCTTACCTGCTACTTCGGTGAGGATGCCATCGACTGTGGCACCACCTCAGCGTTCACAGGTGGGTCTTTACTAGGTTTTGTGTCTGTCTGTGTTTGTATGGCTGTCTTTTTTTACTGCTGATGTCTGTATTTATTGCCTCAAGTATTGCATTATATGTCTCTTTTGTTCTTTTTTTTCCTACAATAATACTTAAGTGATGCTCTCTCCATGAACACTCCAGTAATAACTTCTCCGCCTTCAGCGTTGCCCCTACACTGTACCTACGTGGAGGAGGCCCTGCTGGTGCACACTGTGGCCGAGGGCTATGGGGGTTGGGAGCAACAGGAAGAACAGTGCAGGAGGAGCCACGGTCACCTGGTGTCACTGGCCACCATCGAGGAGGACGAGACTTTGCTGGACACCATCCTCACCGACTCAGACAAACCTAACCCGGAGGAATACTGGCTGGGACTCAACATGTGTCCTGCATACACCGGTGAGTGATACAATATTTGATATGACTGGCTGAAGCTGCCATGAGTATATGTTTATATGATATTTATCAGGTCATGTACAGCACACACATAGATATTATTATACGGTATGCTAATAGGTAACGAGTGGAGCGACGGGTCCTTGTGGCGACATACTCGTCTACCAGCCATGAACGCCCAGCTGTCGAGCACCTCCTGCTGTGTCAAGGCCATCTGGGACAAACAACAGCAATACGTTTGGTACGGTGAGGTGTGCAACGCCCTCCTGCCTGCCATCTGTGAGTTCCATCCTGAAGGTTAGTAACTGTGTAGGAGTTACCTTCCCTTATCTATACCCGCCATAAGTACACTGTAGAGCAGATAACTTACTAAAGTCTTCGTGGGTTGTAATGATATTTGGTATAGATCTTTATAGTATTTGTACCGAGGTCGATAGTCAGCAGTTTGAAGTTAATGGTACAGTAAGTCTGTTTACCTGTACCGATCATCACTAATACCAGTAGTGTTTCTAATAGTCAGGAGAGTTCGCTTGATTCAGAGGGTTACACTGTACACGTTAGGGATGTGTCGGTCAATTGAATACAGAGCTCATCTCCTATCCCAACGGTTGATAGTTGGCTCCTGGGATACAGCTACTCGACCCAGCTATAAATGAATACCTAATTTTACACTGAGGGAAGTGATGCAGTACCGGCCACACTACCTCTTGGCCCTACTTCTGCTTAGTATTCATGCAGTACCGGCCACACTACCTCTTGGCCTTACTTCTGCTTAGTATTCATGTATAAACGATATAAATATGAAATATAATCACACACAAGCTTAATAAACATGACCACTTTGCAGGTATGGTGGGGACGGTGCAGAACTTGGGGCGACTGGGGGTTAACAGCAGCTCAGCGGGGGTCAACTGGACCTACGCGGGCCAGTACTGGACACCCACCTATCTCTCTATCAAATACTGCACCTTTAGGAACCTTAAAAACATCCTCACCGATACTGGCAATATCACCGACCCGTAAGTTGTGGGTGGAGGTGTGTTGTGTGGGTGGAGGTGTGTTGTGTGGGTGGAGGTGTGTTGTGTGGGTGAAGGTGTGTTGTGTGGGTGAAGGTGTGTTGGGTGAGTGTGTGTTTAAGTAGATGTAGTGTGGACGGGGGATTTGTGTACATGTGTGTTTAAGTATACATGTGTATTCGTATCTGATTCAAGTACAGTACATGAACAGCACAACCCTGCCAGATATATGACCTCTCTACCATGAACTCTTGACAGGTGCCATTCAAGTAATGTCGAGGTGAACGCCATAGGACATTCGCAAACGGACCTCCAACCCTTCACTGAGTACCAAGTCGAGGTGGCAGCGTACCTCCAACCAATCAATTACACTGGGAAGGCGGCAATTATTTCCGTCCGCACCTGTGAGTACTGAGAGAGAGGGAGAGAGAGAAATGAAAAAGATAAGAGAGAGAAATGAAAAAGATAAGAGAGAGAAATATTAAGAACTAACGAGACTTGATCCTTATTAACCACAATTGTTAGAGGAGACGTTTGTTATTACGCTTAATTGTTGTCTCCCTTCTCCTTCAGCCCCGGAGGCGCCGCTGCTGGTCGAGTTTGACGAAAATGGCTTTATGCACGTCATGTGGGCACAGAAGGTAAGGTTAAGGTGCTAATAGAACCCAGTTTACTTTAGCGATTAGGGTTGGGACTTACTCCTAATGGATTTCATTTATAACATATAGCCCTAATGGGTTACATTCCTAATGAATTCAAATTTCAATGGGTTCTCGTCCTAATAAGTTCTAATTTCATAAGGTTCTATTCTTAATGGGTGCTGGTACTAATTATGAATAATGGAAAAAAACCCACAGTCATCCCGGTAAGAGATATCATACACTGTTAAAACATATAACTAATGTAACTTTCTAACTTGGTCGTCAGTGTGAGCAGCTGATATCACATCTCATTGTTTCCAACAAATCACAATTTACATTTAAGTTAACAATATGACTATCAGGATCACCTGAAGATTCACACTCCCAGTTTTTATCACTTGAAGATTAAGAACCTTATACCTAACCTAACCCCTTCAGGTAACATTAGGGCTCCCGCACACGACCTACTTTTTGAGCGACTTTGTGGCAGCAACTTTTTGTGTTTACAAATGAAACCTACATGTATCTATAGGAAGACCGCGCACGGGCCGCAAAGAAATCGCAACCGGATCCATTTTCTCCGCCATGCCACAGTAGCTTGCCACCAGTAGCCAGGGATAAGTGGGTGTCACTTAAACTCTTTCAGTGTGTATTACAAGTCTCGAATACTATTTGCCTGACTCTACATTCCCCAAGAAGGTACTCAAAGTTTAAAGATACCTTTGTTACCCGTGGCTAAATATCTGTGAAAATATTCATGCCACTTCTTCGAAGTCCATGTTGACACTGCTGACAGAAGCCCATGTGTAGCCGCCACTAAAAGTGACTCGTGTGCGGGGAAAGGAAAACATCATCCGCCACTTTTTGTGGCGCCATAAAAAATTGCGGCCTCAAATCGCTCAAAGCGGCTCGTGGTTAATCTGCAGATGAAATATAATGTTGGTGAGCCTTCAGATGATGTGTAAAGTAAGATAATAACAAATTAGGGTGTGAATGGGCGTCCAAATGTAGAAGACTAGACGCATCAAGAAATTCAAGGATTTTATTGAAACTCTCACAGGTGACAGAGTTTGGGGAGAAGGACTACGCGAACCTGAAGATGACCGAAGCGGCCAAACCCAGTAAAGTTATCCACGAGAAGAAGATACAGGTGGTAGGGGTGGTAGGCACAAAGCTGGACGGTCTCGCGTTCGGGCGTAACTACACCATCACCCTCCAAGAGTTAGGCGGACAGGAACGTACCGAGACAATCAGCGTGCGAGCCTGTAAGTGGTGTTCTTCTTATTGACACCCTGTATAATAACCAAATTATACTTCGTAGGTAAGGTAAAGTTTTGTGTATATATATATATATATATATATATATATATATATATATATATATATATATATATATATATATATATATATATATATATATATATATATATAAATATAACCTTCTCCATCTCTACAGACCCACCGTGTGACTGTAGGGAATACCAGGTGGATGGTTTGTGTTTCCTGACGTCCACGACGCCAGTGAAAGCCGCCTCAGCCATCGAGAAATGTACAGACTCTGCAAACAGCTTGGCCACCGTCACCAACAGCCGGGAAGTAGACCTCCTGCTGCAGATGGCAGAAGATAAGGGGGACGACTTATGGGTCTCTCACACCTCCAAGAAACTAAAGGCTACAGGTGAGAACAGCTCTGTGCTTACGTGAGACAAATCTCCTGATTCATTAAGAGGAATACAATATTGTCTCTTGACCCATCTATCCCCCCCCCCTTCCCAAAAAAAAAACACATGGATCTGTAGGCGTGTTTGTAAATGTCTTGATCCATCTGGAGGTTGTGGTGTAAGATTTATGTCACGATGACCCATTATAAGACGTGTAATGACCCAGAAGTTCAGATGTAGAGTTGGGTGCACATGACTCTCTCCATGGGTCACCAGGAATCACTATTTACTGTACAATTGATCATTCCCTTACACGTACAGCCTATTGTCTTATCTCACAGACGTGTTACTGTATGCTGTTCAATTGTTACTCCCCACACACCTACACTCCCCTTACACCTCTACTCCCAACTCGCCTCTTCTCCCCAACACACCTCTACTCCCCACCACCCCACTGCTCTACTCACCCCACTCCCCACACCCCACTCCCCACACACCCCACTCTACTCCCCACTACACCCTCTACTCCCACACACCCCCACTCCCCACCACACCCCACCCCTCCCCACACACCCCACCCCCCACACACCCCACTCCCCACACACCCCCACTCCCCACACACCCCACTCCCCACTCCCCACCCCACTCACCCCACTCCCCACACACCCCTACTCCCCCACCACTACTCCCCACACACCTCTACTCCCCACACACCCCACTTCCCCACACACACCTCTACTCCCCACCACCTCTACTCCCCCCCACCCCCACTCCCCACCACCCCACTCCCCCACACACCCCACTCCCCACACACCCCACCCCCACACACCCCACTCCCCACACACCCCCACTCCCACCACCCCACCCCACACACACACCCCACCCCACACACCCCACCCCACACCCCCACTCCACTCCCCACACACCCCACTCCCCACACACCCCCACTCCCCACACCCCACTCCCCACACACCCCTACTCCCCACCACCCCACTCCTCTCCCCCCACACCCTACTCCCCCACACTCTCCCCCACTCCCCACACACCTCTACTCCCCACACACCTCTACTCCCCACACACCTCTACTCCCCACACACCTCTACTCCCCACACACCTCTACTCCCCACACACCTCTACTCCCCACACACCTCTACTCCCCACACACCTCTAGATTATGACAAAATTTTCTCCTGATCCTTTACAGATACCTTGGGCACAGCCGCCCTCATAGAGACAGATGAGGCAGAATTATTGGACATTGAAACAACGGAAGAGTCCTCTGTGAACGTCCAGCCCACAGAGTGTCTGATGGTGTCTAGGGTGGAGCGTGCTGTGGTGGTCGAACAGTGCACCAACGCTCACAGAACTGCGTGTAGCCACAAGGTCCCAGGTGAGAGAATTAAGGAGTAAAGATGAGGAATAAGTAGAAGGGGTGTGGACAGTTTCAGAATGAGGTAGAGGGAAAAGAGAAAAGGAAGGGATGGAGAGTTAGAGAAAGAAAGAGAGGGTGATACTAGTAGGTGATCCTCCTATTATGCAGGACTTTCAATATTTGGTCTCCTATGTCTGCTTGTCTCTTGCTAGATGGGGAAATATAAGCTGGAGAAATTATATGTTACTTGACTCCTTTGGTCCACAGAGGCATATCTAGAAAGTCCCGTAAATCGTGCATTGTCTTACCCTTCGGCAGACTAGGTATGGATTGTGCAGCTCTTAGGGATACTTGTACACAAATTTCTGAAAACAAAAATGTTATTGAAACTGAACGTGAAACACCCACACACACAGTCTGATTGTACGTCTCTGTGTCGGTGTTAAGTTCTATGTCAATGTACTGTACGTCTCTGTGTGTCAGTGTACGTGCACTTTATGACTTGTGTCTGAAAAAAAACCATGACTAAATATGAAGCACACCAGGTCTAAAAGTAGTGGTGTGTGTGTTCTTCCACAGTGGGCAAGGCGTTCACGGGCCTTACAATGAAATCTGGCCGCAACTGGATCACTCTGGACTGGGACAGAGAAGCCTTCAAGTGGAAAGCCAAGTATGCAGTCAGGTACCAAAGATCGAGTGAGAAGAGGTACAAGAGAGCATTACACTATGTACCCATTAAAGAACCACCAGGTAAGTCCCGAGTTCTGAACCCCTCCTCGGTATGTTCTTAACTGTGTCACTTATAAAAGGGGTGGTTTCAGAGGGTTTATTATTTTATTGTAATCTCTAGGTATTTTTGCGACATCTCTTTGTAGTTCTAAGGTAGTTACGTGTTCTCTCCTACCTAGTCTGAGTAGTTATGGAAAAACTCCAAGTGTGGGATGGAAATATTGTAGGGTATTACTCAAAATAATTATAATCCTGACTATCTTATTTCTTAATTCATAAATGACTCGAGAAGAGACAGGAAAAGTATACCAATTGTCAAATTTGTTTACCAAGATAACTCTTTGACCAAGACCAAAGACACTTGAAGCATACATAATATTTTGACCTTTTGGAGTTTGTATGATATAGGAAGAATACACTTGGGCAGGGAGCACCACCTAACGCTAATCCTGGGTATAAATTAGTCTTGATAGACAATTCTACAAGCTGGAATGTCGACAGAGAAAGCGAGTTCCCTCCCAAGTCGATGGTGGGAGTGAGAAGATGGCACTGTCCAGTATAGTGACTTTGGGGATTTAATATGCCAAGGAAATGATGAGAAATGGTGACTGTTTTAGCTATTATGAGATTCCTTTATTTTCCGTATTGCATTACAAGTTAGAACAGCGAAAGAAGGACAGTCAGTTGCTCTATAAACATTTGTATATTATTATATTGAGTTTATATTATTTTATATAATTATCTATTTATCGTTATTGCCATGTGAAATTACGCCTAGGAATCCTTGTCACGAATCCACCCCAGTGTTTCAAGACTACAACGGATTCATTCATAAGTTTACTTTAGTAATGTTACACTGCCACATGTAAGCAAGCATCACCACAGAGGGTAAAGGAACTCATTGGGGCAACTGTCCATAGTGTTTTTCTATCAGCAGTGTATATGACCAGGTTATACCTGTACAGTATAGTGGTTTTACATACATATCTATACATATCTAAGTTATTACTACCTTGATCACTTACCACCTGGACGTTGTATGTGAATTATATACCTAAAACTGTATTATGTTTATCTATCTCAATAAACTTTCTAAATCTGACAAAATATTAATTTTATATCTTCCTGACAGTGACTATCAGACACCTAAACCCCAACACGGCCTATACACTCGAACTGGAGGCCGTCCTAGATGACGACATCATTTCCACCTCACAAGAATTTGAGGTCTACACCAACAACAAAACAGAAGCGAGAACGTCACCCCAGGTCAGTGCGACGGACCCGAGCAGATGTTAGTCGTAGGTGAGGTATACTTAGTCATACATGGAGTAGTGGTGAGACCTGGGGACACAGTAGCCCGGTTAAGTGCTAAATGTCTGCTCATACAAAATCCATCACGAATCAGGTGTCATATCTTTGCACCATATTTGATGCTGTTGCAGTCTGTCGTTACACTAAGTGAAAGTAAACTAAACTTCATTTTCTGGAGCAAGATATTAGTATGGGAAGGTAATTCAGTAAGTGAAGATTCAGATTCTGTCCATTAGATAAAGTACCATAAGAAACGGTAAGATCTGCCGTGAGCTGTACCTCTACTGGGACGGATGGAACACCTTAACAGTATAAACACTAATGGGCTTCAACTCTACGCAGGAAATATAGAAACGTCATGTAATGTTTATTGACTCGAAAAAAGACATAATTTGAATAAGAATTTCGATTTATTCGGAGATATTGGCAATGCGGTAAATTTGGCTACACGGTGTCTTGGCTCTCAACATTTGACGACTAAAATTTGTCCTGTCAAAGACTAAAGCTTTTGGTAGCAAGATGTTATGATCTGATGGAAGTTATATGGCATAGGAAATATACTCTGAGACAAGGGGTTAAACACAGTGCCGGTCCAAAGTATAAATAGTTTATGGGAGGCTGAGGTTCTGTACAAATGGAATATCATCAAAAAAGTCAAGGGCCCCCGCAAGGTGAGGGGGGGGGGTGAACCTTTGAACATGGAGTTATATACAGAATAGGGAAATTGATGTAGATAGCCTTGTGAATGTGTAATACTGGAGTGTTCCGGCTGAGAATCTTATTGCCGATTGCTTTAATGACACACACACACACACACACACACACACACACACACACACACACACACACACACACACACACACAGATCATTGTTCTTTATTACTGACATTGTGTTTCCTCATGCAGATATTATTAGGTGGTTTCGACATAAGAGACACACAGGTCATCGAGCTCGTGTGTAACTCTCTCCTGGTGGTGGCCTGCATCACTACCATGCTTCTCTTCTTCGCCACAGGGTACGTCTCCTTGTTCACCTGAAGATATTAGCCCTTACATGTTTCTTACTGATGATTAAATACCCTAACGATACATTGAAGGGGGAGAGGGGAGTTAGGTTAGGTTAGGGTAGTTAATCCTTTAATATTATGGTGAAATAAACAGGGGGGGGGAGGCTAATTATAGTAGTGTGAAGGGTTGACTACTTATTGGTCATTTGCTGTTAGAATGTAAAACAGATTTCATGTCATTACCGAGAGGATGTGTTTTATGTCAATAGGTACAGTATATTGTGACTTGTTATACGATAAACTATTACTCAACCTAATTCTTTTACTGTATTTTCTCATAATAATAATAATAATAATAATAATAATGATAATAATGATAAGTATAATGATGCTAAAAATTTTGCCCTTGAAGGATGTTCTACCAGGACTGTGTGGCTCAGATGGGTTTCCAGTGTAGCCTAATAGCCGCCTACCTCTGCCTGCTACTTGCTCACCCAACATACGTCAACCCAGATTATGAGGTTAGTTAACATGGGCACCTTACACTAGAAACTTCATATGACATGAGGATTAACCCCCCTTTGCTTATATTGCATTACGATTAACCACCACGCTAATGCTGACTTAACCTAACTTACCTAACAAAAAGTAACATATTAACCTAACCTATCCGTCCCTAAGTCTACAGTAACACCACCATGAACGTAACTTCCCCCAGAGCTTCATAGTGATGTCAGATCTTCACCAGATAAGTTATATATCAACGAACACAAACTTTTCAACTCAGTATGTCGTCTGAGCTCTTCAAATCATTTAATTGAATCAATGCTAAATAAACACTTTAGTTACAAATATTTTAATATGAGAACAGTACATAATCATCTTAGAGTGATCTATACATTGTTGGGTGACATTATCTTGTCTACTTAGAGAGCGGAGACAATTTATTCCACTATTTCTATTAATATTTCCACGTTTGTGTTCCCCTAGACTGGATGTATCGTGTTGGCGGTGGTGCTGCATCTGTTGTTCTTCTGTGCCTTTATGTTCCTCATGCTGGAGGCACTCACCATCGCCCACCTCCTCGTTATCCACATCAAAAGTCCCTTCCAGGTGGGGTAGTTCATCATCTTGCTCTTACAACATGTTTAATAAAGACTTCTGTTTCCTTAGCTTTATGAAAACACTTGATAATAAGTTCCAAATGTTATAGTAAACCCCAAAATATAATCCCAGAGAGTATGCTTAGATGAGGTCAAAAGATCGATTGAATTAATGAAAAAAAATCAAATCCATAGATACAATAATGACATCTAAACTATTATCAGAAATCCAACTGGCTGATGGTGATCTTTGGGGTGTTTGTTCCGCTGGTGGTGGTGAGCGTGTCAGCTGGCTTCCTCTACAACGATTACCCGGACTTCTCCAGACAGAAGTAAGTCCACACTAACTCAAAAGTCCTGCCACTAACAAACACGGATCTGCTTTCCCTTATTACTTACATCATTAGGGTACAACACATTACTAGTCTCTTTATGTTTACTGTAAACTAATTATTTCAATGAGATGATAAATAATTAATCTTTATATCCCATTATTACCTACAGTAGTTAGTTAACATATAAGAAATAATATATAACACAAATTTCAGTAATCCTATTTTGTCATTCTCATTTCTTATCTTCAGCTCATTCGTGTTGTAGTGTTTAATGGGGACAGTTACCTGGCTTTGAATCATCTCATTATATGTAACCATTAAGTGACTTATCCTTCTCTCACCTGAAGATTCTTCCCCAACTTACCTGAAGATTGACCATTCTAATGCTATTCTAACCTAACCTAACTTAACCTAACCTACCTTAACCAAACCTAACCTAATCCCATAAGGAGCGTTAGGGTAAGTAATATTGAGGTAAAATAAGCGAGAGGAGGGCGAATCTTCAAGTGATCCGATCTTACTCTCACCAGCTCTTGGTTAAACTCCTTTACTCTCACTAGCTGTTAGTTAAACTCCCTTACTCTTACCAGCTGTTGGTTAAACTCCCTTACTCTTACCACCTGTTGGTTAAACTCCCTTACTCTCACGAGCTGTTAGTTAAACTCCCTTGCTCTCACCAACTGTTGGTTAAACTCCCTTACTCTCACCAGCTGTTGGTTAAACTCCCTTACTCTCACCAGCTGTTGGTTAAACTCCCTTACTCTTACCAGCTGTTGGTTAAACTCCCTTACTCTTACCAGCTGTTGGTTAAACTCCCTTACTCTCACCAGCTGTTGGTTAAATCCCTTGGGAGCAGTCGTGTACGTTGAGACAGTCCCCAACGGCATCTTGATCATAGCCACAACCGTCCTAATCTTGAACACCGTCTGCAGCGCTGAGACGTCCCCGGAGCTCATCGAGGTTAACCTTCGTGGCAGACAGAGGTAGAGTGAACAGAGTAGCACAGACAGAGGTAGAGTGAACAGAGTAACACAGACAGACGTAGAGTCAGCAGTGTATCGATATTTCCTATTAATTGCAATAACGTTTTAATCCTTTCATTTACATTTTCCAATTGCATGTCATAAAATCATCACCCAGTCATCATCATTATTCTCACTGTTGTCCCTAACATAATCTAATTGGTTTTTTTAAATAATATATATTTTTTTATTTCTACTTGGACTAAAGCTGTTAGGTAGTGGAGATGCTTGGTCGGGGAGATATTTTGTCTTGGTTTTCCTTCCTGTGTCCTTCTCTCCTTCCTTCTCACCCAATGTTTCTCCCTCCCTTCCCCTCTCTTGCAAAGGTAGAAGGGACTAACTGTACCTATGAGACCCCATTTTGTGCGTTAAGAGTTAAAGTGAGGTGTGCACACTGTGACCGTTGCTGTATCTCTGCCTCACAACTCATGAATTTTAGGAGAAAATAATGAATGATGTTTCTCTGGTCAGTGACGGCCACAAGCTGCGGTGGGTGGTGTTGGCGCTGGTGGTGGAGCTGGCGATAGTGTGGGGACTAGGCGTCGCCACCTACCATCAGGGTGACCAGGGTACCTACATGGCCTTCTGCATCTTCACTCTTATCCTCGCCTTCACTATCGTGGGTGCCAGGACTCTACTGGACGACACGGTAAGAAACAGTAGGGTGAACAGTGTTGGTGTCAGCTCAGTGGTGATAGCAAAAAAACAACGTAGAATGGAGACTCAAAATAACCTGCGTTCACATCATATCCTGGACTGTGTGTGTGATGTGTATGAAAGAATCTAATAATTTTGTGTAATATTTAAAGTCAACAAAGAACACTCATCATATAAAACATTACTGATGGGTTGGGTTGGAAGGGAGGGGAGGAGGGGGCACTGGTAGAGGGTGTGAACAGTGGTGGTATACAAGTGGTCAAGTCTCTCTCTGATGTAAAGATTTAATTATAAGAGGAACTTAATGATCAGAGACTTGACTCATCTAAACAACTAACATACAGGTAGCTACCATCTCCTGCCATCCTTACAACTTCTCCACTATACATCAGGTGGCACCAATGAGTCAACTTTCTTGTGGTTGTTACATCAGATAAAGTTAAGATATATAACCGATTGTATTTCCTGATATGATAGACGATTTTTATCCAATATTAACGAGATAAATAACTTTTTGATTCAGTTGTAGGTCTGTTTAATACGGGAGCTCCTGGACTATAAGCGATCAGTGTTATGTATATGTTTAAATAAAATAGAATGTCATTCTGGCCTTATTCTGTATTAACACGTGCTATGTGTAGTGAAGCAGTGATTTATCTACCATGAGTTATAGTGAAGCAGTGATTTATCTACCATGAGTTATAGTAAAGCAGTGATTTATCTACTATGAGTTATAGTGAAGGAGTGATTTATCTACCATGATTTATAGTGATGCAGTGATTTATCTACCATTAGTTACAGTGAAGCAGTGATTTATCTATTATGAGTTACAGTGAAGCAGTGATTTGTCTATCATGAGTTACAGTGAAGCAGTGATTTATAGTGATACAGTGAAGCAGTGATTTGTCTACCATGAGTTATAGTGAATCAGTGATTTAGCTATCATGAGTTACAGTGAAGCAGTGATTTGTCTACCATGAGTTATAGTGAATCAGTGATTTATCTATCATGAGTTACAGTGAGTAGTGACTTCTCTATAGATGTATTCTCACCATCCTCCTCCACAGTTCCGCAGCAAGATGCATCGGCTGTGTTGCGGCACTGAACTCACCTACAAACGCAGCGAAATCCTGGGCATCAGCGCCAGGTCTCGAATCAGCCCCAGCGATAGCTCCTCTGCTTCCACCGCCAGGTAGGTCATCCATTTAATCTGCAAGAACACGAGATCATTGGATCATTGTGATTAGGCAGCATCTGTGAGTTTCGTCGTCCCTGTGTGTGTGTGTGTGTGGTGTTGAAGTGTTCTAGCTGACAGTACTTAACAAGTTGCTCTTTATTTTTCTGTATATACACACAACACTCCCGTACTTTGTTGAGTTGGTTTACTTCGCACGCATTTTCTGTACAATACAAGTAATTCTCCTGTGTTGGGATTTGTGTTCTTATACTTTCCTGTTATTTTTCTGTCAATCAGTCTTGTTTTTTTTTTTAAGGTATTAGCATAAAGTTTATTTGTTAGTGTGTTATTGTACTGGATGAGAGTAAACAAGAGTTCAAAAAGCACTCGGTTTGGTCTTAAGCAGTGTCGTGGTTGCAGTACATATTAAGTGAATTTATTCTATCAATCCTTTACGAACTCAAAGTTGTTTTACAGTATTATACTCATCTATTTCTTTGTCTTTCTCTTCATCTTTTTCTGTCTGCCCTTCTTTATTTCTCTTATTGTCTTTATTTCCTTTGCAGTCTGTGTCCTTCTCGGTCTCCCTAGACCTTCTTATCTCCAACGTGATATTTAACATCTTACAGAGTTTTTGTTACTTCATCCATGGACGGTCGTAGTGCAGGGGCGTCCTCAATGCGCTCTGTTCTCCACCAGTAGCACTAGAAAGCCGCAGGTCTTCTAGTTCACCAGGTTAACAGATCGTCTTATATCTCATGCATTTATTGCTCGATTTTTTCTTCTCTAAGTTAATCACTCAAGGTCGTATAATTCACAGAGCTGAACACATAGTCGTATTTACAAGGAAGTTGGCAGACTGGTCACCTCAAGGAGATAATCATCAAACACACAAAATTATTCAGTAGAATTAACATTATAAACTTATAAGACCTAATGCTCCTATATCTAAGGACAATATTTCACATTATCTTATTATTTGTCTGCCAACTTGATGGACATAAACACGAATACTTAAATAAATGGTCATTGTATAGGATTAGTAAGCATGTCTCAACATACCTGTAATTCATGTGTTGCATCAAAGAGTACTCTGGGAATGTGTTAGTTAGGATGCATGAGGGCGATGAGCAGCATGACACCAGCCCACCTCTGAGGCAGCATGTCTTTCATCGTGAAACAAATTTTGGGGATGTATTAGCTGTAATGTAGAAATAGTTTATTGAAATGTTCAGTTTTTAATTTATTGTTTTCCTGGTTATGTGAAAATATGTCCAAAATAATCATAGTTGATGTTATTAAAACTATGCAAAACTTGAACTTTAACTGCTTGAGACATCAAGTGAAAATTTGTTGAAGACATTGAGTTGTAACAATACAGGAAGCTCTTGAGTGTGCAGCCCAGCCTTGATGATCAACTTATGAGTGTTGGTGTAGAGTACTGCTAGTGAACACTGCCCTGTCTCGCTCCTGCAGGATGATAACACCAGTAGGCACCAAACCACTCGCGGTAAACAACACACTTGCCAGTGCAACACCTGCTGGGAGCAGAGTGACCTCAGCAGCTGGGAGAGTTTCCCGTTCATCTGACAGAGCTTCTTCATCGCTGGATAGAACTACTCCCTCAATAGGTAGAATCACACCCTCGGGCGGAACAACTACCCCTTCAGAGGGCAAATTCACCCCTTCATTAGGCACCACAGTCTTCACGATACGGAGCGTCATCCCTCCTTTGTGTCGAACTACCCCATCCATGTCTCCAAAGAGCATAATAGAGTCGTTGCAGGAATCACCTGGACCAACAAGAGACATCATTCAGAGTCCTGTCGAGCGTGCTGAGTCAACCTGTACTATCAGTTCCACAAGCAGGAACAGCCACAGTGTCATCCCTATAGAGGCGGTGGAGGAAGATGTGGTGCAGCAGACGTTGCCGGGCGCCAGCCAGTGAGCGACTCGGCCTCCTTCTGTCTCAGTGGGCTTGCCGATGGGTGCGACGGTTCGTTAATTTTTTATACATCTTGATCAAAATCCCAGTGTTTACCTCTTGCATCTTGAACCTTCACTGTATCTATAGTCATTATTCTCCTTCGGGTTGATTTGAACTTTAGTCTTTTAGTGAACTGGATTGACAGTAATTCTTTAAGCTTGCAATGTCTTGGCTTCACACACACTGTACTCCTCTTTGCTCAGTGAGTGCAAGAGTCAAGGCTTTTTTATGATACAGGAGTACACATTATACACGGCGACCTCAGCTATACGCTGGTGTTGATGATGACCGTCGTCTGAGGTGATCGAAGTGACTTCAACTAAAATTGTGATTTATACAGAATTGTTTCATAGGGACTTCTCCCTTCTTCAGCCTAATGTTTGAAGACAATTATCATATTTTCTTACTGTTAGAGATGCATATATAAACTTATTTGTAGTTACTGCATGTTACTGTCTCTGCTACACCTGCCTCTATTGTCTCTACACTTTAAACTGTTTTTAAAATATATTTTTTAAATTTTACCTTTTAATTATATATATATATATATATATATGTATATATATATATATATATATATATATATATATATATATATATATATATATATATATATATATATATATATATTATATATATATATATATATATATGTATATATATTAGAGTAGAATATGCTTCTTCTAAAGAGCTGTGTGCCTGTTTACGATGAAAGTATTTTAATTTACAGGTGAGTGTATAGATGACTATAATTACTAGAATTTTCAATAAATTTCCAGAAGAAAGAGGAGGAAGTGGAACATATAACGTTGATATGTACAGACGGATAAATTAACAAGAATAACAGAAAAGGAATTGAAAACCTTGGACGTTAATTTCACATTAGGAAGAACATTTAGCAAAACTAACTCCTCCGGAAACATCAAGTAAACTTCATATACTCGTAGTTTACAGAATACTACTACAAGAAGATTGAATGTTATATACTGTATACTACATATTTTTATTAAGAAAGATATTACGATGTGATTTAAAGATGAATTTTCTGCTCTTTTTCACTTCCTGTTGACGCTCGCCCTGAACTACTTGTTGACGACTAAAATACTGTATTGCTTAAAGTTGTTACGTGTGGAAGAGCAGAGGGGAGTATGTGATAAATAGAGAGACATCAATACATCAGAGAATCAGTATGATTTTAGGAGTTATGTTCCACCTCAGTTTTGTAAAGGAAGTTATTGGACAGACGAGTTGGTGGAATGTGAAATGTTTTCTTATGTCTCCCGCGGCAGGTTCTCTGGGAACGAGGAACGCAGAAGCCAGGTCACCACCACATCCGGGTACTCCCTTCCCAACACACCCAATGAGGAAAACACCCAGAGCCACGTCCTTGTCAAGCGAGTCTACAACTTCTCCGATGATGACCCTATGGACGTCCAGTAGCTCTGTGACACGTAACCTCGTGCTGGCTCTAGATCCTGTGTGTATTGACCGTGGGTGTAGGTACTTGGCAAACCAAAGTTGGACTCTTGGCAGTAAGCTAACCTTGACTGTAGTCTGGTTCTGGCTATAATGATCTGTAACCCGATTTTAGTTATGGTCTGGCCTGGCCTGGCCTGTATTACAACCTGACTGGCTGTGGGCTGAACTGTGCAGGTTACTTGTGCTCCAAGATCTGTTTGCTGTACTCCTCTGATAGATCAAAGTAAAAACTAATCAAATATCAACGAGATAACGGAACACTTCACACATTTCTTTCGTAGAGATTCTTTAATTCTGTTTAGTGTTTTGATGTTAAGTGTTGTGAAATATTACCGAATTACCTGTGATTGTCTCTGTTAACACAATTTATGTTTAATTCAGTGTTGGAATTTTTTTTTATTCAGATTAACTATGTAAGTCTTTTAACCCATGAGAGTAATGATTTTCTAAATTTTCTTGAAATTTAGAATACATAACCTGAAATAAGTTACAATAAATAGAAACATTTGCCGAGTACCGATAATTTCTGAGATTTTTTTTGTTAAACTTCTGACTAGCCAAGACAGATCATATCGATAATCACACCGATCCCTAATTAGCCTACTTTGGTATAATTTGGCTATCTTATGACAGTAAGCTACACATTAAAGTATAAAATAAGTTTTACCATATGAGAATTAATTTCCAAATAAGTGTAGCAATCAAAAAAAAAATCCTTATACGGCAATAAACGTCTGTTGTTTTTTAAAGATTTATCGGCAATTATCCTCATTTAGCGTGACTTATATGAGTGCTGACCAATGACATATGAAGGGAATAAAGTTTCCATGTATCAATATTGTAACTATTTTACTGAAGATATAGTTCATCATGTCAATAAATAAACTCCATTTAGTCACTAGTTTTGTGTATCATCGGGAATAGCAGAGGCAGCTCCTGTGAGGTCTTCTTGTTATTTTGAAAGTACTAAGTTACCTGCAAGTACTTTCTGTTATGACTGAATTTTGAATAAAAAAGTTTGAGAAATTTCAGTAACTTCTTCTTTTTACATAATGAAGAAATTTTGCATCCACTGCATCGCCCACCGTCTCTTGCCTATATACTGTGATGTTCAGCTTATTATGTCAAGTTATGTTATTTTCGTACCCTTATACATTGCATCCTCTAACATTGTGTAGGGTACTATAAATATTTGGTCTCTTGCTTGAAACACGTTAACTCTTTGAATATTTAAATGTTTTGTGTACGATAACTGCCTCATGAGTACGTTATAAGCTTATAAAATAACGTTATTCGTTAGATTCAATAAACATACCTCCTGAGTACAAGCTTATAAGCTCTGCATTGTGTTAATAGTCTCGTAATGGTGGGCATCCTTCCTGCTCTTGCTCTTGCAGTTAGTATCATACCATAAACTGTTTTTTTTAATTTGTGAGAAATAAGTGGTTATATATTTTAAACTTCTTCAGGTGATGAACTATAAAAATAACAAAGGGTAACACTAGCCCACTAATTACGTATTCTGCGTCATACAGCCATCCTTATCGTTATATAGAACTGTATACTTTTGAAACACTTAACTGCTACCTGGAATAATCCCCTGTTTCTACCTTTTCCTTGTAAATATTAGTATGAGGATAATAATTATTCCTGGTGCTAGGCGTACAATGAAACTTCTTACTGTTACAATGACAGTCCTTAGTGTCAGTCGTAAGATGAAAGTGAATGTGGTGCTGCTAGACCTCATGGTCGTAGCAAACCTGGGGTCTAACATCTTGGTGTTACTTGTATTATGAAATTTCGTGATGCCACAGTTGGGGATATGTAGCTAAACATTTTCTGGCCTTAACACGATAAAATATGGCTTGTTTTTTCTCAACAACTGTGTTTGTTTGAGGTGTTTACTAACGCCAAGTACTAGAACCCAGTTTGTCTTCATCTCGACAGTTACTGTATGTTTGTGAGGTGTATAATCGGAGCCATTGTCTGTGATATGTAATGATTTTAACTGACAACATTGCGTGTGTTTTGATTGCAATATAATCAACAAATTGTTTTGACAGTATTCGTGATAGTAACAAGAAATATTTTAGAAATATAAGTTTCAAAACCTCAAATGAGTAGTTTACTATTAGGTGCATTAACATCATTAATGTATTCATCCTGTAATATTGATGTTCGGGACACCAAAAACATATTTAAATATCATTGTAATTTCAGGTGGTATATAAAATTTATCTCGGCTACTTAGCCAAGACAAGTGAGATGAAATAAGAAAGTAAACATTGTTTTTGTATGAAAATATTATTCTAAAAAATCAAATGAAAATAATTTGATATTCAAGTGATCTTGAAAAATATATCTACAAACTTGAAAAATATTGATGTAGTTTTGATATTTTTGACAAACTCTAATTACATCTTTATAGTATACAAATTATAATAGGTCTACTAATATAGTATAAACTAAGATGGTCGAGGGACTTTATATATTGATGTGTTGCCACAGTGCCTGAGGGTCACATGACCCAGATGGACTTGGTGAGAATTCGAAATGATAATTTGTTTTTTGAGGAGATAAATGTCTAACAATATAAACATCATAAAAGGGGCCCAAGGTAATCTAAAATCAAAGGCTGAGCACGCACCGAACAGAGTGGCAGAAGCCCGTAAAGCTGCTGCCCAACAGGCCCGGGCCATGGTCAAGGCTCGCCGGTTGAGAACAGCTATAAAACAAAAGTGATGACTAATCCCCATTGTTTTATTTATTTGTTTGATTTGTGTAAACTAAAAATAGTAAGTATAAATAAATATTATTTGTATTATTACTCCACAAATAACTTATAAAGCAACTTCTGCATGTAGCTCTTACTGCACTTACTTATATCACATATATACAGGACTGGTATTACCTGGGTATAAATTACACTTTAAAATAGCCCAACTCTCTCACACCCAAAACACTAGCCCCGCTTTTCTGTCTTGCTGTCCTGGCATTCATATCGTAACTACACATCATCACTAAAGTTTACATAGTCACTACACAGTTCATAGCATCATGCCATATCATCACTATAGTTCACTTTACAACTACACAGTTCATAACATCATTACACATCACTATACTTCACATCACCACTAAAAAGTTCAAAGCATCAAGACACATCATCATTATCGTTCACATCATCACTACATAGTTCATTGCATCATGACACATCATCACTGCATAGTTTATAGCATAAAGACACATTATTACTATATAGTTCACATCATCATTACACAGTTCATAGCATCAAGACACGTCATCCCTAAAGTTCACATCATCACTACACAATTTATAGCATCAAGACACATCATTTTAGTTCTCATCATTACTACACAGTTCTTAGCATCATGACACATCATCACTATAGTTCACATCAACACTGCACAGTTCTTAGCATCATGACACATCATCACTATAGTTCACATCATCACTACACAGTTCATAGCATCATGACACATCATCATTATAGTTTACATCAACACTACACAGTTCATAGCATCATGGCACATCATCACTATAGTTCACATCATCACTACACAATTCATAGCAACCTGACACATTGTTCACATCATCACTACACAGTTCATAGCATCATGACACATCATCACTATAGTTCACCTCATCACTACACAATTCATAGCATGACACATCATCACTATAGTTCACATCATCACTACACAATTCATAGCATGACACATCATCACTATAGTTCACATCATCACTACACAGTTCATAGCATCATGACACATCATCACTATAGTTCACATCATCAATACACAGTTCATAGCATCATGACACATCATCACTATAGTTCACATCATCACTACACAATTCATAGCATCCTGACACATTGTTCACATCATCACTACACAGTTCATAGCATCATGACACATCATCACTATAGTTCACCTCATCACTACACAATTCATAGCATGACACATCATCACTATAGTTCACATCATCACTACACAGTTCATAGCATCATGACACATCATCACTATAGTTCACATCATCACTACACAGTTCATAGCATCATGACACATCATCACTATAGTTCACATCATCACTACACAGTTCATAGCATCATGACACATCATCACTATAGTTCACATCATCACTACACAGTTCATAGCATCATGACACATCATCACTATAGTTCACGTCATCACTACACAGTTCATAGCATCACTTAGCTCTGTAGTAATGGGGAGGCTCTTACTACATTTATTCACAGATGCCTGAGGTGCCTGGGGCTCCTCGGGTGCCTTTATCATATTTCTATAAAACTTAATCTTATTTAAAAAAAATGGCTGATCTACACAAAAGATTTTTACAAGAATCCGTTCGCCAACTCAGTCGCATGGACGACGAGTTAGCTGAGGCGCACAAAACTATAAGTGCTATCAAAATAGTGGGCTTCGGTGTTAGTGTCGAGATACCCCCCAACACAAACCTCAACTTTGTGTTGGATAAAATAAAAAATTTGGGAGACCTCAGAAACCACAATAGAACCATTGTGGAAGCATGCGTCTACCTCCGATAGAAGGTAAGCAAGCTAAAATATATCCCAGACAATGGCGTAATGTATTATTTTTCCGCCCTGTGCGGAAAACAAACTAAGAAAGGTTATGATAAATTTGAATATGTCGTGTATCCTCCATTGGAGTTGTTCGACTTCAAAATATTCTTTGCAAAAGAATCGTTCAATACAGAAACGTTGACAAATTTGCATAATTTTTGTGCCAAGTCGCTGGCAAGTCTCGCCAAGCGCCTGGCCCCCTGCCCCCATGTAGATGACCCTCCCAAGGCGGTCACCGAAGGGGACGCTCCCCACGCGGTCGCCGAAGGGGACGCTTCCCAGGTGGTTGCCGGAGGGGACACTCCCCAGGCCGTCGCCGAAGAGGACGCTCCCCAGTCCGTCGCCGAAGGGGACGCTCTCCAGGCCGTCGCCGAAGGGGACGCTTCCCAGGCCGTCGCCGAAGGGGATGCTTCCCAGGCCGTCGCTGAAGGGGACGCTTCCCAGGCCGTCGCTGAAGGGGACACCCCACAGGTCGCTGAAGGGGACGCCCCCCAGGACGTCGCCGAAGGAGACGCCTCCCAGGCCGTCGCCGAGAACGTCCTCCAGGCCGTCGCCGAAGGAGACGCCTCCCAGGCCGTCGTCGAGGACGTCCTCCAGGCAGTCGCCGAAGAGGACGTCGCCGAAGAGGACGCTCCCCAGGCTGTCACCGAAGTGGACGCTCCCCAGGAGGTCACCGAAGGGGACGCTCCCCAGGCGGTCACCGAAGTGGACGCTCCCCAGGAGGTCACCGAAGGGGACGCTCCCCAGGAGGTCACCGAAGGGGACACTCCTCAGGAGGTCACCGAAGGGGACGCTCCCCAGGAGGTCACCGAAGTGGACGCTCCCCAGGAGGTCACCGAAGGGGACGCTCCCCAGGAGGTCACCGAAGGGGACGCTCCCCAGGAGGTCACCGAGGAGGTGGACGCTCCCAGGAGGTCACTGAAGGGGACGCTCCCCAGGAGGTCACCGAAGGGGACGCCCCCAGGAGGCACCTCCCCAGGAGGTCACTGAAGGACGCTCCCCAGGAGGTCACCGAAGGACCCCCAGGAGGTCCCGAAGGGGACGGAGGTCACGCCCCCAGAGGTCACCGAAGTGGACGCTCCCCAGGCGGTCACCGAAGTGGACGCCCCAGGAGGTCACCGAAGGGGACGCTCCCCAGGAGGTCACCGAAGGGGACGCTCCCCAGGAGGTCACCGAAGTGGGCGCTCCCCAGGAGGTCACCGAAGGGGACGCTCCCCAGGAGGTCACCGAAGTGGACGCTCCCCAGGCGGTCACCGAAGGGGACGCTCCCCAGGCGGTCACCGAAGGGGACGCTACCCAGGCGGTCACCGAAGGGAACGCTCCCCAGGCGGTCACCGAAGGGGACGCATCCCAGGCGGTCAACGAAGGGGACACTCCCCAGGCGGTCACCGAAGGGGACGCTCCCCAGGCGGTCACCGAAGGGGACGCTACCCAGGAGGTCACCGAAGGGGACGCTCCCCAGGCGGTCACCGAAAGGGACGCTCCCCAGGCGGTCACCAAAGAGGAAGCTCCCCAGGCTGTCACCGGAGGGAAAGCTCCCCGGGTAGTGCCCCGTAAAGCTGCTGTCCAAAAGCCCCGGGCCAATAAACCAACTCACCAGGCCAAGAATACCATGGTCCCAGGGGCCCAAGGTAATCTAAAATCAAAGGCTGAGCACGCACCAAACAGAGTGGCAGAAGCCCGTAAAGCTGCTGCCCAACAGGCCCGGGCCAATAAACCAACTCACCAGGCCAAGATTACCTTGGTCCCAGGGGCCCAAGGTAATCTAAAATCAAAGGCTGAGCACGCACCAAACAGAGTGGCAGAAGCCCGTAAAGCTGCTGCCCAACAGGCCCGGGCCATGGTCAAGGCTCGCCGGTTGAAAACAGCTGTAAAACAAAAGTGATGACTAATCCCCATTGTTTTATTTATTTGTTTGTTTTTGTTTAAACTAAAAATAAAGTATAAATTAATATTATTTATATTATTACTCCACAAATAACTTATAAAGCAACTTCTGCATGTAGCTCTTACTGCACTTACTTATATCACATATATACAGGACTGGTATTACCTGGGTATAAATTACACTTTAAAATAGCCCAACTCTCTCACACCCAAAACACTAGCCCTGCTTTTCTGTCTTGCTGTCCTGGCATTCATATCGTAACTACACATCATCACTAAAGTTTACATAGTCACTACACAGTTCATAGCATCATGCCATATCATCACTATAGTTCACTTTACAACTACACAGTTCATAACATCATTACACATCACTATACTTCACATCACCACTAAAAAGTTCAAAGCATCAAGACACATCATCATTATCGTTCACATCATCACTACATAGTTCATTGCATCATGACACATCATCACTGCATAGTTTATAGCATAAAGACACATTATTACTATATAGTTCACATCATCATTACACAGTTCATAGCATCAAGACACGTCATCCCTAAAGTTCACATCATCACTACACAATTTATAGCATCAAGACACATCATTTTAGTTCTCATCATTACTACACAGTTCTTAGCATCATGACACATCATCACTATAGTTCACATCAACACTGCACAGTTCTTAGCATCATGACACATCATCACTATAGTTCACATCATCACTACACAGTTCATAGCATCATGACACATCATCATTATAGTTCACATCAACACTACACAGTTCATAGCATCATGGCACATCATCACTATAGTTCACATCATCACTACACAATTCATAGCAACCTGACACATTGTTCACATCATCACTACACAGTTCATAGCATCATGACACATCATCACTATAGTTCACCTCATCACTACACAATTCATAGCATGACACATCATCACTATAGTTCACATCATCACTACACAATTCATAGCATGACACATCATCACTATAGTTCACATCATCACTACACAGTTCATAGCATCATGACACATCATCACTATAGTTCACATCATCAATACACAGTTCATAGCATCATGACACATCATCACTATAGTTCACATCATCACTACACAATTCATAGCATCCTGACACATTGTTCACATCATCACTACACAGTTCATAGCATCATGACACATCATCACTATAGTTCACCTCATCACTACACAATTCATAGCATGACACATCATCACTATAGTTCACATCATCACTACACAGTTCATAGCATCATGACACATCATCACTATAGTTCACATCATCACTACACAGTTCATAGCATCATGACACATCATCACTATAGTTCACATCATCACTACACAGTTCATAGCATCATGACACATCATCACTATAGTTCACATCATCACTACACAGTCATAGCATCATGCATCATGACACATCATCACACTATAGTTCACATCATCACTACACAGTTCATAGCATCATGACACATCATCACTATAGTTCACGTCATCACTACACAGTTCATAGCATCACTTAGCTCTGTAGTAATGGGGAGGCTCTTACTACATTTATTCACAGATGCCTGAGGTGCCTGGGGCTCCTCGGGTGCCTTTATCATATTTCTATAAAACTTAATCTTATTTAAAAAAAATGGCTGATCTACACAAAAGATTTTTACAAGAATCCGTTCGCCAACTCAGTCGCATGGACGACGAGTTAGCTGAGGCGCACAAAACTATAAGTGCTATCAAAATAGTGGGCTTCGGTGTTAGTGTCGAGATACCCCCCAACACAAACCTCAACTTTGTGTTGGATAAAATAAAAAATTTGGGAGACCTCAGAAACCACAATAGAACCATTGTGGAAGCATGCGTCTACCTCCGATAGAAGGTAAGCAAGCTAAAATATATCCCAGACAATGGCGTAATGTATTATTTTTCCGCCCTGTGCGGAAAACAAACTAAGAAAGGTTATGATAAATTTGAATATGTCGTGTATCCTCCATTGGAGTTGTTCGACTTCAAAATATTCTTTGCAAAAGAATCGTTCAATACAGAAACGTTGAAAATTTGCATAATTTTTGTGCCAAGTCGCTGGCAAGTCTCGCCAAGCGCCTGGCCCCCTGCCCCCATGTAGATGACCCTCCCAAGGCGGTCACCGAAGGGGACGCTCCCCACGCGGTCGCCGAAGGGGACGCTTCCCAGGTGGTTGCCGGAGGGGACACTCCCCAGGCCGTCGCCGAAGAGGACGCTCCCCAGTCCGTCGCCGAAGGGGACGCTCTCCAGGCCGTCGCCGAAGGGGACGCTTCCCAGGCCGTCGCCGAAGGGGATGCTTCCCAGGCCGTCGCTGAAGGGGACGCTTCCCAGGCCATCGCTGAAGGGGACACCCCACAGGTCGCTGAAGGGGACGCCCCCCAGGACGTCGCCGAAGGAGACGCCTCCCAGGCCGTCGCCGAGAACGTCCTCCAGGCCGTCGCCGAAGGAGACGCCTCCCAGGCCAGCCGTCGAGGACGTCCTCCAGGCAGTCGCCGAAGAGGACGTCGCCAGAAGAGGACGCTCCCCAGGCTGTCACCGAAGTGGACGCTCCCCAGGAGGTCACCGAAGGGGACGCTCCCCAGGCGGTCACTGCTGACACTGTCAGCGGGACGCCCCCAGGAGGTCACTGAAGTGGACGGCCTCCCAGGAGGTCACTGGCACGTCCCAGGAGGTCACTGAAGGGACGCCCCCAGGAGGTCACTGAAGTGACGTCTCCCCAGAGGTCACCGAAGGGACGCTCCCCAGGAGGTCACTGCTGACGCCCAGGAGGTCACCGAAGGACACCCCCAGGAGGTCACTGAAGGACGCCCCAGGAGGTCACTGAAGTGATCGCCCCAGGAGGTCACTGAAGGGGACGCCCCAGGAGGTCACTGAAGGGACGCCATCCCTAGGAGGTCACTGAAGGGACGCTCCCCAGGAGGTCACCGAAGGACGCCCCCAGGAGGTCACGAAGTGGACGCCCCAGGCGGTCACCGAAGTGGACACCCCAGAGGTCACTGAAGTGACACCCCAGGAGGTCACCGAAGTGATACCCAGGAGGTCGAAGGGGCTACCCCCAGGAGGTCACCGAAGGGACGCCCCCAGGAGGCCACCGAAGTGGACGCCCCAGGCGGTCACCGAAGCGACGCTCCCAGGCGGTCGAAGGACGCTACCCAGGCGGTCACCGAAGGAACGTTTCCCCAGGCGGTCACCGAAGGGACGCATCCCAGGCGGTCAACGAAGGGACACCCCAGGCGGTCACCGAAGGACGCTCCCCAGGCGTCACCGAAGGGGATTTTACCCAGGAGGTCACTGAAGGACGCTTCCCAGGCGTCACCGAAAGGACGCTCCCAGGCGGTCACCAAAGAGGAAGCTCCTGCTGTCAATGGTGGTGCCTCGGTAGCCCCCGAGCTGCTGTCCAAAAGCCCCGGCCAATAAACCAACTCACTAGGTTAAGAATACCATGGCCCCAGGGGTCAAGGTAATCTAAATCAAAGGCTGAGCACGCACTGAAAACAGAAGTGCAGTCAAAGCTGCTGCCCAACAGGCCCGGGCCAATAAACCAACTTTCAGGTTAAGATTACCTTGGTCCCAAACAAGGGACCAAAATCAAAGGCTGAGCACAAACAAACAGAGTGGCAGCCTGTGTTGCTGCCCAACAGGCCTGGGCCAATAAACCAACTACTGAGTTTAAGATTACCTTGGTCCCAGTGTAATTCAAAATCAAAGGCTGAGCACGCACCAAACAGAGTGGCAGAAGCCCGTAAAGCTGCTGCCCAACAGGGGGCCCAAGGTAATCTAAAATCAAAGGCTGAGCACGCACCGAACAGAGTGGCAGAAGCCCGTAAGCTGCTGCCCAACAGGCCGGGCCATGGTCAAGGCTCGCCGGTTGAAAACAGCTGTAAAACAAAAGTGATGACTAATCATTGTTTTATTTATTTGTTTGTTTTTGTTTAAACTAAAATAAAGTATAAATTAATATTATTTATATTATTACTCCACAAATAACTTATAAAGCAACTTCCATGTAGCTCTTACTGCACTTACTTATATCACATATATACAGGACTGGTATTACCTGGGTATAAATTACACTTTAAAATAGCCCAACTCTCTCACACCCAAACACTAGCCCTGCTTTTCTGTCTTGCTGTCCTGGCATTCATATCGTAACTACATCATCACTAAAGTTTACATAGTCACTACACAGTTCATAGCATCATGCCATATCATCACTATAGTTCACTTTACAACTACACAGTTCATAACATCATTACACATCACTATACTTCACATCACCACTAAAAGTTCAAAGCATCAAGACACATCATCATTATCGTTCATCATCACTACATAGTTCATTGCATCATGACACATCATCACTGCATAGTTTATAGCATAAAGACACATTATTACTATATAGTTCACATCATCATTACACAGTTCATAGCATCAAGACACGTCATCCCTAAAGTTCACATCATCACTACAAATTTATAGCATCAAGACACATCATTTTAGTTCTCATCATTACTACACAGTTCTTAGCATCATGACACATCATCACTATAGTTCACATCAACACTGCACAGTTCTTAGCATCATGACACATCATCACTATAGTTCACATCATCACTACACAGTTCATAGCATCATGACACATCATCATTATAGTTCACATCAACACTACACAGTTCATAGCATCATGGCACATCATCACTATAGTTCATCATCACTACACAATTCATAGCAACCTGACACATTGTTCACATCATCACTACACAGTTCATAGCATCATGACACATCATCACTATAGTTCACCTCATCACTACACAATTCATAGCATGACACATCATCACTATAGTTCACATCATCACTACACAATTCATAGCATGACACATCATCACTATAGTTCACATCATCACTACACAGTTCATAGCATCATGACACATCATCACTATAGTTCACATCATCAATACACAGTTCATAGCATCATGACACATCATCACTATAGTTCACATCATCACTACACAATTCATAGCATCCTGACACATTGTTCACATCATCACTACACAGTTCATAGCATCATGACACATCATCACTATAGTTCACCTCATCACTACACAATTCATAGCATGACACATCATCACTATAGTTCACATCATCACTACACAGTTCATAGCATCATGACACATCATCACTATAGTTCACATCATCACTACACAGTTCATAGCATCATGACACATCATCACTATAGTTCACATCATCACTACAGTTCATAGCATCATGACACATCATCACTATAGTTCACATCATCACTACACAGTTCATAGCATCATGACACATCATCACTATAGTTCACGTCATCACTACACAGTTCATAGCATCACTTAGCTCTGTAGTAATGGGGAGGCTCTTACTACATTTATTCACAGATGCCTGAGGTGCCTGGGGCTCCTCGGGTGCCTTTATCTATTTCTATAAAACTTAATCTTATTTAAAAAAATGGCTGATCTACACAAAAGATTTTACAAGAATCCGTTCGCCAACTCAGTCGCATGGACGACGAGTTAGCTGAGGCACAAAACTATAAGTGCTATCAAAATAGTGGGCTTCGGTGTTAGTGTCGAGATACCCCCAACACAAACCTCAACTTTGTGTTGGATAAAATAAAATTTGGGAGACCTCAGAAACCACAATAGAACCATTGTGGAAGCATGCGTCTACCTCCGATAGAAGGTAAGCAAGCTAAAATATATCCCAGACAATGGCGTAATGTATTATTTTTCCGCCCTGTGCGGAAAACAAACTAAGAAAGGTTATGATAAATTTGAATATGTCGTGTATCCTCCATTGAGTTGTTCGACTTCAAAATATTCTTTGCAAAGAATCGTTCAATACAGAAACGTTGACAAATTTGCATAATTTTTGTGCCAAGTCGCTGGCAAGTCTCGCCAAGCGCCTGGCCCCTGCCCCCATGTAGATGACCCTCCCAAGGCGGTCCGCAGAGGACGCTCACGCGGTCGCCGAAGGGACGCTTCAGGTGGTTGCCGGAGACCTCCCCAGGCCGTCGCCGAGGACGCTCCCCAGTCCGTCGCCGGGGACGCTCTCCAGGCCGTCGCCGAAGGGACTTCCCAGGCCGTCGGGGATGCTTCCCAGGCCGTCGCTGAAGGGACGCTTCCCGGCCGTCGCTGAAGGGGACACCCACAGGTCGCTGAAGGGGACGCCCCAGGACGTCGCCAAGGAGACGCCTCCCAGGCCGTCGCCGAGAACGTCCTCCAGGCCGTCGCCGAAGGAGACGCCTCCAGGCCGTCGTCGAGGACGTCCTCCAGGCAGTCGCCGAAGAGGACGTCGCCGAGACGCTCCCAGGTAGTGGACGCTCCCGGAGCGTCACCGAAGGACGCTCCCCAGGCAGGTCACCAGTGGACCGCTCCCAGGAGGTCACCGAAGGGACGCTCCCCAGGAGGTCACTGAAGGGGACCTCCTCAGGAGGTCACCAGGGGACGCTCCCCAGGAGGTCACCGAAGTGGACGCTCCCCAGGAGTGCCGAAGGGACGCTCCCCAGGAGGTCACCGAGGACTCCAGGAGGTCCTCGAAGTGGACGCTCCCCAGGAGGTCACCGAAGGGACGCTCCCCAGGAGGTCTGAAGGGGACGCTCCCCAGGAGGTCTGAAGGGGACCTCCCCAGGAGGTCACCAGAGGGACGCTCCCCAGGAGGTCACCGAAGTGGACGCTCCCAGGAGGTCTGAGGACGCCTCCCAGGAGGTCTGAGGGGCTCCCCAGGAGGTCTCCGAAGTGGACGCTCCCAGGCGGTCACCAAGTGGACCTCCCCAGGAGGTCACCGAAGGGACGCTCCCCAGGGTCTGAGGGGACCTTCCCCAGGAGGTCACCAAGTGGACGCTCCCCAGGAGGTCACCAGAGGGACGCTCCCAGGAGGTCACCAAAGTGGACGCTCCCCAGGCGGTCACCGAGACGCTCAGAGCGGTCCGAAGGGACGCTACCCAGGCGGTCACCGAAGGAACGCTCAGAGCAGTCACCGAAGGGACGCAGCAGTCAGCAAGAGGAGGACACTCCCCAGGCGGTCACCGAGGGACGCTCCCCAGGCGGTCACCGAAGGGACGCTACAGGAAGGGTCCCGAGGACGCTCCCCAGGCAGTCCGAAAGGGACGCTCCCAGGCGGTCACCAAAGAGGAAGCTCCCAGGCTGTCACCGGAGGAAAGCTCCCGGGAGTGCCCCGTAGAGCTGCTGTCAAAAGCCGGGCAATAAACCAACTCACCAGGCTAAGAATACCATGGTCCCAGGGGCCCAAGGTAATCTAAAATCAAAGGCTGAGCACGCACCAAACAGAGTGGCAGAAGCCCGTAAAGCTGCTGCCCAACAGGCCCGGGCCAATAAACCAACTCACCAGGCCAAGATTACCTTGGTCCCAGGGCCAAGGTAATCTAAAATCAAAGGCTGAGCACGCACCAAACAGAGTGGCAGAAGCCCGTGTTGCTGCCCAACAGGCCCAAGCCATGGCCAAGGCTCGCCGGTTGAAAAACAGCTGTAAAACAAAAGTGATGACTAATCCCATTGTTTTATTTATTTGTTTGTTTTTGTTTAAACTAAAAATAAAGTATAAATTAATATTATTTATATTATTACTCCACAAATAACTTATAAAGCAACTTCTGCATGTAGCTCTTACTGCACTTACTTATATCACATATATACAGGACTGGTATTACCTGGGTATAAATTACACTTAAAATAGCCCAACTCTCTCACACCCAAAACACTAGCCCTGCTTTTCTGTCTTGCTGTCCTGGCAT